GACACTGGGTGTACTTCTGGCTAGTGCTTTATCTAAGTCCTTCAACTCACTAGTAGATTCCCGACCAAATTTGACATCAGTGGTACTATCAGTTGTGCCCTCTACAATCTTCATAAGCCATTGACCATAGTCCCTCTGGGGAATATCCCTGACTTGATTGTCTTGTGAATTAAATTGGACATTTCTGACCGCTCTTGCAGTGGTGCCTGCTGCAAGATTCCTCCTATCCTCTTTCCCATAACTTTGCACTATATCACCAACACTCCAATTGGCATTGTTCTGACCTGGAGAGCTTGAACTTTGTGAATCTATGTGAGCAGCTTTAGGGTTTCTAAGATGATGGCCTGGTGTTGAAACCATTCTGGGAGCTGAGGTGTCTGGTGAAGGTGTTACAAGGTCCACAGGTCCCTTGGCTTGGGCCACTTTGATTCTCTGATGTGCATGTGATGCTCCTGGTGTGGACTTTTGATTGCAAGGTTGGTCAGGGGAAGGTGTTATTAGGTTCAAAACCTCTGGAGAAGGAGTTATGAGGTTCAAAACCTTTTGAGGAGGGGTTACAAGGTTGATTGGTCCTCTAGCACTGGAGGCCTTCAGCTGAGTAGTATGACGGGGATGTTCAATTGGTGAGGGAGTGATCAGATCTATGACTTGAGAGCGTGTATGAGCATGATGAAGATTTCCATGTGTTGGTGGAGTGATCAGATTGATAGTCTTCACAGGCCTGGATTCTGTGCGTTGTGAGGTGGATTGAAGGCCTAAGGGGGGCCTAACACTTTGACCTTGTTGTAAGTTGGATGAGTTTGATGCAACATTTTTCTCCAGGTGCTTTATTATGGGTGCATACTTGAATACCAACTTAACCCCTTCCTCAAATCGGACCAAGTGATTACATTGCTTATTATTGCAAAGCAAGTACACTTGCTTTTGGCCTTTTACATTTGCTAGATATCCCAACTCTTTAGGCCTATGTTTTGGCAAATCTTGAATTCTTTGTGCCTTTACACATGCAGGACAGGGAATCCTGAAGTTCTGGGTGAGCTCAGTATAAACAGCCATGACTTGTTCAGCCTTCATTGGTTGGTTTGGATCAAGCTTGTTTGCATTTCCAACCATCTGGGTTCCCTTTCCAGGGCAAATAGTACCTACAAAGCATGGCAAAGCTTCAATCAAAAGGGTGAACATGAGGGGGGCAGGGAGCATACACACCATCTTCCCCAATCCTGATTACCGCCCCCCCGGCGGGGGGGCTCAAGGCTGGGGCGCACTGGGGCGCAATTGGGTGGTTGCGCCCCAGTCCTTTTGCCCCGAGCCTTGAGCCCCCTAAAACTGGGGCGCAATTGACATAAAGTCCGCCGAAAATTGATTTTCGGCGGACTTTCTCATGCAAGGCCAGGGCGCAGCATCCAACAAAGAAGTTTAACAATGAAAAGTCCGCCGGATTTTCAATTTGGGCGGGCGTTTCAATCCATATGGAGGGGACTACTCTATGTTTGTACCACAGTTGGTCCAATCAGTCACCATGTGCAACATGTACAAATAAACCTCAATCCTGTATCTACGTAGCCACCATGTAATGATTCCAAATCAGCCAATGCCGCTGTCAACGGGCAGCAACACCTGCACATTTCATACCAAGCACATCACATTGACATGGTTGAGGCATCCCAGTCTGTGCAAGTAGACATTACAGGTCCATCATCCTCCTTCTCTAGGCCAATCATACTGACAATGTTAATATGACCAACCATTAACCAAGGAACATGGACAATTACCAAGCATAGACAGACTGGTGGGAAACTTTGACCAACATGGAAATTACCAAGCTTCTACCAGAACCCAAGTTAGAGGGAAAAATGAGTAACAAAGGCTGATAAAAAAAAGGTGGGCCCCAAAATAAGGGAGATGCAAGGTAAACAAAGAAAGGAATAGGACGGTTTCCGGTACCCACAACTCCCAAGCAGTTCGGAGATCGCAGGGATACATAAGGCCCATGATGGTGTGGAAAATAATACAACACATTGGATAAAACAAAGGAACGGTGACAGCAGGTGTAGGACCACACAGGCATGGACCAAAATGCATACCAAGGACTAAGACAACACAGACGTTAGAGCAAGTGCAGGCCGCAAGTTGTGTGTTGACAACTGATATTTGGAAATATGGGTGGGCAGCAAGTCAAGTGGACAGACAGAGGGAAAGTCTGTAAGTTGTTCAAACACCATTGAGCCCAACTGGTTTGGCTCAGCAGCAAATCATGGTTTGAACACCCACTTGCATGCAAACACAGATGAGGTTAATAGTTAACAGAGTCATGTGCACACCAAAAGTTGACACAAACCAAGGGACATGTAGACACCCCGGTTTGAAATGGACAGTTGACCCCATGAAGCAAGAAGGGCCCAAATATTTGTGCCAACCAAATGCAACACTGAAAGTAGAAAATCTTGAACAAACATGAAAACTAACAAGCATTGAACATTGATCATGGAAATTACTAAGCATGGGCAGAAAGGTTGAAGGTTTTGATAAGCATGATGTCTACCAAACATTAACCAATACCCAAGTGAGTGGCCCCAGTGACATCAAGGGCTCAATTTAACAATGGGCTGAAGATATCAAGCTGGGGCAATAAAGGGGGAGGTCCAAAGAGAACAGAACAGCAAGCATAACTATAGAACAAACATACAGAGTACCAAGCAACACATAGGACCAAATAGTGCAGACTACAAAAGTACACAGAGGGCAAATAGTTCAATTTCCAATGGAATGCGCATAACCAAATTATAAAGTGGACCAAAGATTGTGGTCCACAGGCAGCTGAGGCAGGGGCGAATATGTCAGTTGCGCAAGGAGAAGAGAAGACAAATGGGGGCGAATGACAGAAGACATTGGGGTGCCAAGATAGGCGGAGGATGAAATAATGTGGTTCAAACATGATGGACGCCCAAATGACAAGTCAAGATAAAGGGTTGAGGGCAAAAGTCAAGACATGATTTCCAAGTCAATATCAAGCGTCAAGTAATGTGAAGACCACCCAGTGGGGTCAACACGCACAGTCATGTCTGGAAGTCCATTACATAGTGATGTCATCACCAACTCAGAGTTGAGTGGAGGCCAGGGTTAGTGACAGGCTGTTGGCAAAGCATTTTGAGGACGTACATCATGAAAGGCCCAAAAACTACACATAGGCCCAATGGGGACACGGGTTATACGATGATGTAGGGTTAGGTTGAGAGCTGACAACTGAATGCAGGGGACGAAGGAGAAGGGAAGACTGAAGTAAACAAACAAAGGTAGGAATAAGACAGTGGGTCAAAATATATGCAAGTACAGAAAAAGGTGAACAGGCAGAAAGAGGCCAGGCTGGGGAGGGCGGAACATGGAGCATGGAGGTACAAACAAAAAGGACAAATGCTGAAAAGTGCCATGAATCATGGTACTTTTAAATGAGTACAGACTCCAAAAGTCCACAGATGACCAATATGTTTGGCGTACATAATGATACATAAAAGCCAACAAAACAGGGTACAAATAAAATAGTGAGACCAATAATGTAGTTCCACAACAAAGTGGGCCAATATATGGTCACTACCATAAAATGCAGTCCAAGAACAAATGATGACCAATATAAGCATGAGCGGACATATGCTAAAGGGCAAAGGGATCATAGCACCAAGGATCATGGACAATCAAATGAATAGGTGGGCCAGAGACATGATCCCAAAGACAACCATGGATGTAACCCATAAGTGGCCCAAGAGAGAGACTAGAGATACGGAAAACCACAAGAGAGGTGCATAGCCAAGGCAACATAGATGGAAATCATGGTGGCCCCAAGACAACCAACAACTAAGGGGACAGGAGGCTCACAGAGTGGGAGGGCAACGTAAAGGCAACCCATTGCTGGAGGGAACGGTGGTCCAATGTCAAGACAGAGCCCAGGTGTCAAAGTCCAAGGATAACAGACTGCTGAATGTTTCAGAGGTGCAAAAAAGGTGGACGAGAGGCAATGGGGACACCAATCAGCTGACTCGGAATATGGAGGCCCAAATGAAACGTATCATGGTGCGCCAGAGTTGAAATGTAGGGCTCAAGGTTCTAGCTACCGCCTCCCCGCTTCGAGACCTCACGGCAGGGGCGCACGGGGCGCATTTTGGTGAGGTGCGCCCCGGTCCATTTGCCGCGAGCCGCGAGCCCCAAAACCGGGGCGCACCTCCAAGCATTGTCCGCCGAAAATGCATTTTCAGCGGACCCTACAGCTCTAGGTAGTCCGCCGAAAGAGGAATTTCGGCGGAGCATCTGTTGAGACACATGACTCAAGCTACGTAGGAGGTCACGGAAGGTGAAATGATGTACACATGACCACTGACAGCACACCCCGGGCGCTGCGTCCAGCTGTATTCATACACTAGGAGGTCCTGTGGGTAAAGGTTGTTATGGGCATATACAAGTAGCAAATATCATATCACCCATTACGTAAGCCCTCCTCATGGGGCTGCCGTTGGGTTACTCCACAGTTTGACTCACGTAGCGTGGACAAATGTACATTGACAAACCCTGTTCCATTGGTACACGTCCTATGCTGTCAAGGGGAGCATAGCTCAGACTGTTTACACTATGTCTCAATGTGGCCAAACCACTTTGATTGACAGGCGTTACACATGATAGCCAGCGTGGGAAGTTCATCCCCGCATGTAGCTGGGAGGCATCAGCAATTCACTTCATCAGGTGCAAGTGTAGGTCACAGTCTACATGTGCAATGGATCATTGATGATAACCACATATTGAAACTGTAAACTCAAAGCTCACAGGAAATCACGCTGCCCACACGCTGGTGTATTAACATTGCCACGTGCCAATGATATGTATAAACAAGGTGTGGAGCCAGGTGTCAACAATGTGTGGGATGAACCTCACAGCAGATTTGAAGTAGCAAACTGAGAGATACCGCTATGGACTATGAGTAATGACTTATAGAACCAGCCACTTATACTGGCACAGGAGCCATAGTCTAGCGGTTAAGACGACGGTTTTGGGGTTTAACAGCCTGACCACCTGGGTTCGATTCCCAGGTGAGACCATTTTGACACGAAGATGTCCAGTCTGTGAAAGGTCAGAGCTGAGTCACATGTAGGTGTACATGTGACACGCCTCTCCAAACCTAACCTAACCTAACCCACATGGTGATAGTCACTTAGGTTAAGTGGGTTGATGACCTTCAGGTCTCAGTCGAAGTCGATTTTCGATTTCGAACCATCAACTACTTGATTCATCCGCTTCATCATCAACACAATCACTTTGACCTCACAGTCAGACTCATCAAACCAGCTCAGCATTCGAATTTGATCATATCGATTCCAGAACAAAATCAGTGAGTCAATGCCATCCAGTACAGTCATACATTGAATGTAACATAACCCAGTACTGACATTAAAAATCGATCGCCTTCATCAACTCACTATTTCGAACTTCTCCAGTCTCATGTCTCAAGTGAGTCCTTCAGCCTCCCTGCAATATTATCAACTTGTTCCTCTCCTATCAGCTGCTAATGACTTTCTGCTCTGATCGATCCCAGTTAAGCAACTCTGAAGCAGCCAGCAACCCTACTCCCCCCCCAGCTCCAGGCCAAGGCCAGGTTGGGTTTCTTCTTGAAATGCGCACCAGAACATAGCAACAGCTCACAGCTGACATTTCCATTCCTACAGGTTATAGCTCCAGCAACCCCATCACCTCCAGCCTCACCTGCTCAAACCAAGGAGGTTGTAGGGGAGGACATAGAGATGGAAGATCAGGTAAGAGCACCACATCAGCAATTCTCACCCAACCTCTAACCCACATCTGCCTCCTTGTAGACCATCGAAAAAGGGGAAGTCGGGTTAGGGTTAGGGTTACAAGGTAGGCCTAGGGTTAGGGTTGAAAGTGCATGCACCTGCATGGAGGTGCATGCACCCGTGCACAGGTGCATGGGTGCATGGGTGCATGGGTGCACGGGTGCATGGGTGCATAGGTGTACAGGTGCATGGGTGCATGGGTGCATGGGTGCATGGGTGCATAGGTGTACAGGTACATGGGTGCATGGGTGCATGGGTGCATGGGTGCATGGGTGCATGGGTGCATAGGTGTACAGGTGCATGGGTGTACAGGTGCATGGGTGCATGGGTGTATAGGTGCATGGGTGTACAGGTCTCCGTACATGTCAAGAAGCGCACCACCAGGGTCGGGAGAAAAATTCGCATACAGCTGTATGATAAACAAGGTTTGGAAATTTTCTCGGCATTTTTTTTTTTTGCTCAGATGGGTTAGTACTACTGTAAATGCACCGGGAATGCGATTTTCGGACCAAAATTCCCGCAATTGGAGAAGTTAGTATCTCGGCCTATATCTTTGAGTACAGAAGTGCTGACAGGTCGGGAAGCGCACCGCCAGGGTCAAGAGAACAATCTGCATACAGCTGTATGATAAACAAGGTTTGAAAATTTTCTCGGCATTTTTTTTTTTGCTCAGATGGGTTAGTACTACTGTAAATGCACCGGGAATGCGATTTTCAGACCAAAATTCCCGCAATTGGAGAAGTTAGTATCTCGGCCTATATCTTGGAGTACAGAAGTGCTGACAGGTCAGGAAGCGCACCGCCAGGGTCAAGAGAACAATCTGCATACAGCTGTATGATAAACAAGGTTTGAAAATTTTCTCGGCATTTTTTTTTTTTGCTCAGATGGGTTAGTACTACTGTAAATGCACCGGGAACGCGATTTTCGGACCAAAATTCCCGCAATTGGAGAAGTTAGTATCTCGGCCTATATCTTGGAGTACAGAAGTGCTGACAGGTCAAGGTGCGCACCGCCAGAGTTGGGAGAAAAGTCTGACCTGGGTTTGGTGTAGTTGCCATGGACTGGCAAAGAGGTTTTTGGACAAAGATTCTGTAAAACAAAAAAGTTAGCAAATCAAGCCATTTTTTGTCCTACAGATGCGGTAGAGAGGTGATCAGTACACATGGCAACTATGTGAATCTCTGGTGGGCATGGCAACTATGTGCACAATTAGCATGGCAACTATGTGAACGATTGGCATGGCAACCATTGAACGATTGGCATGGCAACTATGTGAACGATTGGCATGGCAACCATGTGAACGACTACGATGTGAATATCTACTGTGGGCATGACAACTATGTGAACAGCTGGCATGGCAACTATGTGAACGATTGGCATGGCAACTATGTGAACGACTGGCATGGCAACTATGTGAACGACTATCATGTGAATATCTACTGCTGGCATGGCAACTATGCGAACGATTGGCATGGCGACTATGTGAACAACTACCATGTGAATATCTACTGTGGGCATGGCAACCATGTGAACAACTGGCATGGCAACTATGTGAACGACTACCATGTGAATATCTACTGTGGGAATGTCTACCATGTGAACTTCTACCATGGGAATGTCTACTGTGGGAATAACTACCATGTGAATGTCTACCATGTGAATCTCTACAGTGGGAAATTCTATGTTTAGTGTGAGAATTGGTAGATTTTACTGAGAGAAAGTCTACCATGTGAACTTCAACCATGGGAGCTTCTATGTTTAGTGTGAGAATTGGTAGATTTTACTGAGAGAAAGTCTACCATGTGAACTTCAACCATGTGAGCTTCTATGTTTAGTGTGAGAATTGGTAGATTGTACTGTGGGAAAGTCTACTGTGGGAACATCTACGATGTGAAAGTCTATGTTTAGCCTGGGAATTTCTCACAGTAGACATTCCCACACTTTAGTTGTAGAATCTGCTTTTTTGGATTTTTAGCAATATATAAACAGCTACTCTTTCAAGATTCTTCCTCCCACTTTCTCAATCATTTCCAAATTCAATATTCTTTTCATCCAACTCCTTCACTTGCTTTTTTCTTTTGCTACTTTGACTTCTTCTATTTTCTGCTTCAACTTCTAGCCTTTATCAGATATGGATTGTTGGATCACTACCCCTCCTTCTGCAGATGAAGTGGACATTGATGGGTACAACATATCTGTCACCCCAGAGTGTTTAATTCACTATCTGTCAATTAAAGGCAATGTCACACTAGGCTTCAGAGATCTCAACATCAGAGATGATGAATATTTCTCTGACTGGGTGTATGTTGCTAGTGGTTCTGTTGAAGTCAGGATTTCACCCAGATTCAAGGCATCTCTTCTCTTTTGCTTGAAGGACAAGTACCATTATGCTATTGAGGCTAATGTGGCAAAATCAACTGCATTTACACAAGGCTCTCAGCATGTAACATCCATAGTTTTCATTCAAGCTTTGCTGGAAGTAGGGGTTGAGCATGTTAGACTCAGCTGTTATGGACAAAAGGCTCCTTATAGGCTCTTTAGTTTCAACTTGGGAGGAGAGGTAGATGTACCTTGCAAGAGGAATACCTTTGATATTGGGTTCACTTCTATCTTAGATCACATAGTAGTTGCACAACATGCCTACCATCATTCCAAATTACCAATGGAAACTCATCCTATGCTTCTGGAGTTGGGGCAAGGTTATGGTTCAATTAGATTTAAGACCTTTATTAAAGATCATCCAGTTATTGTCAAAGGCTATCCTAGATTAGTTCATTCTCTCAAGTCCATCAGATGGCAAGACTTAGCTCACTCTCCTGCTACTACTAGAACTTGGTTATCAAGAGTCAATTCAGTTGAAAGGAAGATCAAAGCATTGGATGACAAAAAGCCTCAAGAACTAGGTGGATGGAGGTTTGAAGTTACTATTCAGGTTGCAACATTGAAAGAAGCAGTAGAACTTGTAGTTGATTCTGGATTACTACATATGCAGACTTATTTTTCTGAAAACTCCTTAAGAACCCTCAAGTGTAAATTTTACTCCAAGTCAGCTTATATTCAGTACTGTCAACAATTTCTCCAGCATCTACTTTCCTTAGAGATTTCAAAATATCATGTCAACACTAAGACTACCAAAGTTCAACAACAGTGCATTACTGATTTATACAATGCTTGTGGGTGGAACACTGGTCAAAGGAGGCCCACCAGGTGGGATGATCCTTCAACTTGGTGGAAAAGAATTGTGAAAGGTATTTAAGATCTCTTATCACTGACACCTGGACTTATTCACTAATAAATTGTTTCATTTTGGTAGGTCATATTCAAGGAGAACCTCAAAAAGACTACAGCACCTCTTCTGAAGCAGTCAGAATGTGGAAAGTTCTGACTGAACATTTTAGAATCCCCTGCCAAACATGTGTTCAAGAACATGTTGTTGATCCAACTCCAAAATCCAAGCCTTGTAGAGCCAAGGGTTACTTGAACTTTGATGGAAATGCTAATCAACTCAAGCTGAAATGTAATAATCCAAAGTGTAAGAAGCTTGTTAACAAAACTGATGCTTTGAAGTTGATGAAGAAATATGAACTTATGATTAAGAAACCCAAGTTACTTTCAACTCATCAACCTATCCTCAAGACTCAAGATCAAACTTTATGTTCAAAGAAAGAAAATATCAAGGAGAAGAAATCAATGGTAAATTCAAAGACTATGCAAGATGCTCAAATTATTAAACCAGTAGTACATATTGTCTCAGATTCAGATGCTGATTCATGGAATGTTGATGACATTTTAAGGTATGTACACTTTTTTCTTATTCAATTTTACATGACCTTGGCTGATCAATGAATATGCATTAGAATTGAAGATTTAGATCATGACTCAAAGACTATGGATGAACATCAAGTAATAGATTTAACTATGGGTTAGGGGTTAGGGTTACATAGTAGGCCCTAGGGGTTAGGGGTCAAGGTGCATGCACCTGCATGAAAGTGCATGCACGTGCATGCACTTCTAGGTGCATGCATAGGTGCACAGGTGCACAGGTGCATGGCTGGGTGCATGGGTGTACAGGTGCATGGGTGCATGGGTGCATGGGTGCATGGGTGCATGGGTGCATGGGTGCATAGGTGTACAGGTGCATAGGTGTACAGGTGCATGGGTGCATGGGTGCATGGGTGCATGGCTGTATGAGTGCATGGGTGTACAGGCTCAGGGATGCGTACAGGTATGTTCAGCATACCGCCAGAGTC